TCTCTCTCTCTCTCTCTCTCTCTCTCTCTCTCTCTCTCTCTCTCTCTCTCTCTCTCTCTAACAAATAAAAAAAATGTACGGAACCACTAAGACTAACAGTACTTTATCTTACAGTTTCAGCCATTTGATTCTTAGACTCTAAGAACCTCGAAATGCCAAAGTCGCCAAGTTTGACCAGACCCACTTTGGTCAGAAAAATGTTCAGAGTCTTGATGTCCCTGGTGATTAAAAAAAAAGAAGAATAAAAAGAAAATGGGAATAAATGTATTGTGCAGGTGAACCTTACTGTCATAAATTTATACCAGAGTTTTCATAATTTTTTAAATGTTTGTTCATATATTTAGATTAAATTTAAGAAAAATATGTTAAGCATAAAAAAACGAGGCACTGCCACGAAATAAAAAATACCAGTCATCTTTAATTTCAAACTTTAAACACAAAAGGCAATGAACATCATTTTACATGGGAAAAAAAAAAAATGAAATTGACTATTCCCTTAACCTGCTATAACATAAACAAACTTGTGAAAGTGAATACAAATGATTCCAGCAAATAGCACATATGTGGTAGATAATCACCTGTGAATAACGCCACACTGATGAATGTAGGCTAATGCTGATGTCATCTGATACAAATACCACAGTACATCCTGTAGAAAAAAAAACAATATTAGTCTACCTTTTGTAGGGATGAACTACCGAGGTCATCCTTCTTGCACAACATTTTATTAATCAGAAGGTGTCAATCTGTTAGGATCGTGTGAGGGGGAAAAATAGAAAAAAATAAGAAAAAAAGATAAGATATTCCTGAAAAGTTCAGCTTATGCACATAATATTAGACAGAACTTAAACTTATACAAGATCAAAAAAATGTGACAATGTCACTCCACTAAAAAAAGAACTGCATTGCCTCCCTATAAAAGAAAGAATAATATTTAAAATCTATGTCATGTGTTTCAAATGTGTAAATAAAACTGCTCCTTTTTGTCTACAAGAACTAATCAGTATATTATATATATATAAAAGCCAGGGAGAAACCTAAGATCATCAAACGATAACACCCTTCTTGGGACACCCGTAAAAATCATACAAATCATATGGAGAGAGATCTTTCTCAAATTTTGCTTCATTTATGTGGAACAGATTACCCATGGAACTAAGACCAAGAAGAACACCTGATACAGTAGTCTCCACCTAAGATCCCGGTGCACATTTTCACTGCTTGGTTGATGAGGTGAGCGTGCCCTGGTTTCTTATTCTTGTTTTTTTTTTTTATTAAATAAAGGTCAAAAATAACCAAATTATGACCTGAAAAGCTAGATCTTAGCCGAATGTAGCTCCTTCAGTGCGGGATATTAGGGGTGACCATTATATAGTAAAAATTCTGTTTTTCCAGAACAGCGGGATCTTAGGTGAACAGGGACCATAAGCGGTGGGATCTTTGGCGGAGACGACTGTAGCTTCAAGAAGACACATTATGCATTTTGTGGTCCTACAGGCCTATCCTTCATAAGCTTTTAGCGTTATTTTTATTGTAGCTGTTTTGTGCCTACGTCTGAATGAAAATAGTCTGTGTGTGTGTGTGTGTGTGTGTGTGTGTGTGTGTGTGCATGTGTGTGTGTGTGTGTGTGTGTGTGTGTGTGTGTGTGTGTGTGTGAGTGTGTGGGTGTAGGCGTGTGTGTGTATAAAATATTGCATGAGAAGAAAGGAAGTAGTGAGAAAGGTTTTGAAAATGGGTATTCCAGTGTAAAGTGCATTGAGCTACTTTTTTTGGAAATGCGCTATATAATATTATATTATTATTATTATCATTATTATTATTATTATTATTATTATTTACACCTTTACTGTGCTGAGACTTGTCAAATACCCAATTTTTACAATCTAATAAATTACAAAAATAAATTATCATTCATGTCAATTACCATAATCATTCAACTCATATAGTAAAATAGTTAAAAGGTGTTACTAAAGGTCATTAATAAATAAAGTCCAGAGAGAATCTCACGTGTTGTTATGAAAGAACCACACTCTTGAAAGAGGAAGAAAGATGGTTAAGTGCATGATACTGGCACAAGACAATTTGGCTTGGAGAACCATGATACGTCTACCCAAGCCTTAGGACGACACATAACCATAACAACAACAATGATAGCATCAACAACAACAACAACAACAACATCGCTGCCATTTCAAAGACCAAGGAATGGAGCAGAGTGCAGATAAGACACGGTTTGCGAAAAATTAATGTCCAGTCAAACACACCTTTTCTGGCCATAGTTTGGTGCAACTGGACACTTTGTCATAGAGTGTTCCACCTGGAAAAAAAAGCGTTGTCACTATGAATTTATCTTAATCCTCATTTAAAAAATTTTATGGTTTGCACTTATTTTATAAAGTTGAATATTCATCGATGCTCCTTTCAAAGAAATTAACAGTGTAATTTTAACCAGATCGTAAGACATTAATCATGGAAAGGTAGGCCTTTTAATATTCCAACACAAATACGTAGAAAACACAAACTCAAACACACAAAAGGTGATATAAACCCCAACCACCTCTCTCTCTCTCTCTTTCTCTCTCTCTCTCTCTCTCTCTCTCTCTCTTCCCCCCTCTCTCTCTCTCTCTCTCTCTCTCTCTATCTATCTATCTTCTCTCTTCTCTCTCTCTCTCTCTCACAGCTTCACCCATAATGTAAATGTGTGGACACCCAGTGCATAAGCATGAACTTATGATATTCATAAAGTCAATATCACTTATCATGTGATAAGATTTTATTAAACAAATTAATTCATCTGTCTTCCTTTGAGAAGTTGATAGTCTCTGATGGAGATTTCATAAATTTTGAGGCAACGTGGTGAAATCAGGCACTTGTCAAAATAATGTATTCAAAGAAATCAGCATTTTTTGCCAGATGGGCAATTTTTTGTAATTTTTTGGGGGGGTCAACACATTCTATGTCCATTAAAAAACACATTTTAGTGAGCAGTTTCCAAGGACTCTCATGGAAGCTACCAAACTTTGGCGGCCATTTTCTTGTCAAGTTTACCTCTGAAACCAGACGACCCTGACCTCCTTCAATCGCAATTATTGCAACTTCTATTCACCATAGATGGATATTTTTTTCACCAAAAGCAAGACAAATGAACAGGCTTTAAGATGATATCAATACCCCCATTTACCCAAAAATTGACGAGCGCCTGATTCCACCAGGTCGTGACACAATTGACAAAAGGCAATTAATAAAGCAGATGAATCAAATACACATACCCTTCCTAAAACTATAAATATTTCCTTGAGATTGTGTAGCTTAACAGTAAAGGACTGAGTTAAACCAAAAAACAAATAGAGTCCCCCAATACAAAGTGTATTCCAAAGTGATCCCTGTACATTCCTTATCCAGATATAATTTACCTATTATCAAAATGCTTGCAGTATGAATGCAAAAATATGTCTAGTACTCTGTAGAGATAACATTTTGAGATCAGAGACTCATGGAAAGTAATAAAAACGTTCACTTGATATAATTTGAAAGGTCAAAAAGAGAATGGTACAACTTCACTAAGCAAAGTCAATTTCAAGGGACACGTACTGTGCATTCGCTGACTGCTCTGATGTACTGTACTATTGTTAAAATATCATCTGTACTAATAAAAAAGCAATATATCATCTCATTAAATAGACATTTGAACTTTATTCAACTCACCATTGGCATACTCCATTTCAATGAATAGAGTGTCCTCATCAACAAAGTGATTATAGTAACTTATAATGTTTGCATGATTCACAAAAGATAGGATGTCAATTTCGTTTTGGGAGTCTCTGCGCTGTTTCTCGTTCAGCCTTCCTAAATTCACCTCTTTCCAAACAACCAGGCTGTTATCCTGCAAGTAAAAAAAAACAATATACATGTATATAAAAGCTTTGTTTATCCCTCCATATTATGCATTAGTACCTTTTGTTTAACACCGTCTTTCTAGCCTCACTGATTTGATCTAACGTAGACCAAATATGCATACAAAAAAAACATACAGTCGAACCTGTGTAAGACGGAATCGCAAGGGAGCCAGGAAAAAATTCCGTCTTAGACAGGGGAATTTAGGGAAGTTCAAAGGCCCATGTTCACGTTTTATATATACGTCTTTTCTAGTAGTATTTTGCATGCTAAATACGAATATGGTCTTCATTTTTGCCGCAATAGTTATTGAGTTATTGATGTTCGAAAATAGTAAATTTAACAATTATT